AAGATAAGGGTTGTCAAACAATACGATACATAACATTTTTAATTGAGTTAATTACAGCTTAAAAATGTATTAATTGTAATTAACCGCATTTTGAACTATCGGCAAAATGATGCCATATTTTTCTGTAAATGGTTGTTTGAATGGAAAGATAAATGATGACATAGTGTACATATGTACTGTATTTGTTTATTATAACATTCTGTCTTTCTGTAGTAGACACAATTTTTTCAGCTTGACATATTCCGCATCTGCTAAAGCCTCCTCTTTCTTTTTTTTCTCTGTCTCATAAAGGCTGTGGATCCTCTTCATTATTGTGCCTCTACAAACTATTATTTGTTACAGGAATGAGAATGGGACATTTGAAAAAAGTCTGAAATGCATGTCAGCCAATGGCTGTCATTAACTCAACCAACATGAAATGGTAGTTGTTAACGCTGGTTCAGCCACGGTTTCTCCTTTGATGATAAATGGACACTACAAATTCTGCTTAGATATATAAAAAAAGGTTTAATATATAAAAGACAGAATATAAGATACAGACAAGTGGCAGACTGCTTGATCAGTCTGGGCCCTGCTCCCTGGCACACCCAAAGCAAAAGACCCTGTTTCAAGACAGGCTATCGATGAAAAGCACACAGTCACATGACATGATAATTGAAAACACATGTCTCACCATCCTTAGGTGAACACAATAGCTCCTTTCTCCAAAACACACAGTAGCCCCTCTCAAAGTAAGCCTGAGGCTTACTCTAAACAGATGTTCTCTGGTCCTTGCCTTAATCTAACTTCCTGTGTATAATAGCTGGGGGTTTGACTCCGCACATTCTTCACCCTGCCTGGATCAATACTACTAGTCTAACGTTACATTTATTAATATGATAATAACACAATAACATACTCCATTGACATAATTCCCCCCTATTCATAATATATAAATGTAAAGTTTTAACATCCAGCATTACATCTCTTTTCAGTTTTCTGCAATACCTTCATAACAAACTTACACAGAAATATCAAAATCATCATTTACATTTGTGTGAGCTAACAACGCTTGACATTGATCCGAAAACAATGTGTCTGCAACTGCAGTGTTTATCATCCTGTTGGTTAAAGACTTCGCACATGGCAACAAACAAGTGACAAATATGCAAAATAAAACCAAAATCATTATTGCAGGTGTCGCTATTTTCAATATCAGTTGCCACCATGCTCCAGTAGAAAACCATGACAATAAGTCCCAATTCATGTTGTCATTGTCTCGCTCACTTAGCATCTCAGTTTTAAGACTTTTTAGTCGATCCAAAATTAGTGAATAATTTGAGTTGGATGATGGAATGAACGTACAACAATGATCCTTAATTAACTGACACACACCCCCAGTTTCAGATAAAACAAAATCTAATGCTACTCGATTCTGCATGATCATTTGACGCATAGCCTCCTTTCTCTGAATCCCCCCTGATTTGTTCAGTGAGGTCCATGACAATATTAGTCAAATTCTCCAAATTCCATGCAATATCATTCATCCTATGACTTAAATATGCAACTCCATACATGGGAAAGGCTGTCATGAACACTCCTCTTACATCTGAGATTAAAGGTGGGCTTCTGGCCGCTGTGGCAGCAGCCCTTTTCTGCCTCTGGCACAAGTGCTGTGTCAAGTTATCACTTGAAATGATATAGGAGGCCGGACCTAGGGTGGCCAGATGACAAGTTCCACACCATCTCTCTGGAATCCACAGATACACTTTATCTCCACAAACCCACACCTGGTTTGACGGGCATGGATAGCCCCAAAACCCCGGGACCTCCACCAAAAAAGCTGGGTATGAGTGCCAGTTGGCCACTCCACTGACCTCACCCACTTTAGTGAAATTAATCACTGGGAACTCCCGTGCGGTCGGAGTAGTAGTGAAGTATAATCTGTGATGTATCTCAGAGGTTTGTTGGTTATATGTGGCAATAGGCAGAACATCATCACAGGTGGATGTTCCTACATATTGGTTCGCATCCTCCCAGGGCCCCGGCACATTGCATTTCCTACTCAGACACAGAGGAGAATTGGCTGGAAATCGAGCCACAGTCACACCTTTCTCATTAGTCATGCAAGCTCCTGGTCAGTCAGATGTACAGCTGGCGTACATACTACTGTCCAGTTTATCTTTTGTTTTCTCCAGCCAGTTGTTTTACTCCAGTATACTCCTACTTTTTTATCTTGCTCCCAATCTCTAATTGATTCCACTTGACCAACAAAGGCATTGTTATCACTCCACTCTGCCTCTGGGTCTTTGGATATAGAGATATGTGGATTCTGCAAATCTCCCATGAGTTGTTTTACTGCATCTGCCACTCCTACAGTGCAGAAACTTGTTTTGTCTCTCCAGTAAATGTCTCTAATTTGAACTCTCTGCGGACCCAATTTTTTTACAAGCTTATCGTAAACTGGATCACCTCCTGGAGTTGTTTTAAATCTCAGAGTGACATGTAACTCATCATGTTGTTTGACAATGGCACTTGGATTTAATGCCTGTTTTGCCCTTTTTACAATTTCTTTCCCTGATTCACCAGGGTCACTTGTCGGCATGTCCAAAGTCCAACAATACAATACTGATCCCTCCCCTTGTAGGACATGGATATCAGTGTTGCTACAGCGCCTAGCTTCCATATTTCCATTTTTGTTTGGAAATATTCCCATTTTTAATGCAACCATTGCATCACGTCCGAGTAGATTGTATGGGCACAGCGGTGACAGAACCACCCTCAACATGGCTTCATCACATGTTTCTGGATTTGTTATTGTAATCAACTGACTCAAATTTTGTTTTTGCACTAACCCATTAGCTGATCTCACTGTGATTGAGTTTTTTGAAATGGGTATATTGCTCACATCCCTAATCACTGTTTTATCCGCTCCAGAATCACAAAGGAACACATAGGGCCTTTCTTCAATGTAAAGTGTATTTCTGGTTTAGACACATGAAAAATATCTAATTGAGTGAAATCTATAACCTCATCACATTGCTTTGCCAAATCAGAATCATATCCATTTTCATTTTCAATTATGGAAGTCATTTTTAAATTTGGAATTTTCACTGTTTCATCATTACTTTTTGTCAGAACTTTAGTTTTGTTATTACTCCCTAGTCATGCATTGTGATGTTTTTGATTTCTCCCTTTTTTTTCTACATATTCTTCTCTCTTGTCCTCATCTGAACTTGCTTCACATTCTCTGGTCCATGCTTCACATTCTCTCGCCCAATGTCCTTTCTTTTTGCATATGTAACAATAATCATTGCTTTTGTCCAACTTTCTCTCTCTCCTAGTCTTCATCTGCCCCCTCCCTCTGCTTTGACCTCTGCCTCTATTCTGCTCCCTCCTTGCTGATTGGCCCTGTGCTCTCTGGTAACACAAGTCTCCCAAATCTTGCAAGAAAGAATCCACTGATCTGGCTTGCTCTTCTCTCTCTTTATTTCTCTTTTTATTTCTAGCAACCACTTCAGGATGAATAGCATGTGTTATGAAATCAGGCAGCGTTGCAGTAGGCAATCCAACAAAATTTCTCTTTATCCATTCAGAGACTTCTGGTCTTAAATTAGCCAACATCCCTTGTTTAAACTGTTGATCCCAAATTACACGTTCCGCTGCATTATTGTCCCTCAACCCACTGTGTTTTCTAAAGGCTGTTTCAAACCGCACTCTAAAATCTACTACTGTCTCATCCTCCATTTGTCTTACCTGAGCTAACTTCCCATAGCCAGGTAAAGTTTTGAACATTTCTCTGATTTGATTATGTAGAGTATTTAATCTATCATTAATGAGTGGGTCTGCTGCAGGAAGAAGCACAGGTGGGTTTGCATTATCATTTGGGTTATAATGCTGTCTGCATCTTGTCCAATCAACTCCCATTTTCGTCATGTAAATGTCCCTAATTTCAATTCCGTTAAGCCTATACATGTCCACCAGTTGTCTCATACCATCGCAAAATCCATCTGGGTCTTCTCTATGGCTTGGGACACTTTCTGTGGCTTTAATTATGTCTGCTTTCGTCCAAGTACGAAAGACATACATAGTAGGCAAACTTCCAACCACTTGTGGATCATGAGTGGGATTTGGGACTTCTATCATTGGGAATGCATCTGCACCTCTCTCTGAGAAGTCAAACCTTGGACTGAAAAGGTTTCCAAATTGTTTGCTCGAAGACTTGTTCATTGGAAGCCGTGATCTAGTAGCAACAGGTGTTTGTACATCACAGACTTGTGGCTGTGCTGCTGCTTCTAGCTCTGCATGTGGATACAAACTATCCTGCAGTTTTACAGAATTATCTGGGAATAGATTTGTTGTCTGTTGCAGTGGGGTATATTGAGTGGTGCTTCTGTGTAAAAAAAAAATGATAAAACAAAAAACTTAAAGAGACCATAAAATTAATAGATAAATAAGAAAAAATTAAAAAAGTAAATAATAAGAAAGAATAGAAAAATAATTTGTAAAAAAATAAAATAGCAAATAAAGAAAAAAAACTAAAAAAAATAAAAGTAAAAAAAAGGAAAAAAGAATTTCGAAGAATCAAAGGTAAAAAAAATAAAAAATAAGAATAATAATAAAAGAAAAAGAAAGGGAGAAAAAATAATTAAAAGAAGGTAAACAAACAAAATAATAATGTGACACTAAAAACGAAGAAAAAAATAAGATAAAAGTAAAGGAAAAAAAAATAAATTAGGCATTCAACAAAAAAAACAAATAAAAAGGAAGATCAATCAATGTAATCAAGAGTAAAAACCTTAAATGATATAATTATTAACACATATTAATTAGAGTGAAAAATAAAAAAAAAAAAATAATACATAAAAAATAGAAAATAATTAAAAACTCAAAAAGTATGTAAAAATAAACAAAATGAAAAAAAAAAAAAGAACAAGATAAGAAGACCTAATTTACACCATAAAAGACAATCAAAAGAAAAGTACCAACCACTTTCCCCGGAACCCCAAGACCAGTCACTATCACCCCATTCCGCAAACCACCTTCCCCCCCCCATACCTCACCTTAACCCCTACCTGAACCCATTCATCGCACAAACGAAACCCCGTCACGTCCGCATACTACCCCCACCGCACCTACTCATACTCCGCCAAACTTAAGCCCCCCCCGACCCGCCCCACCTTTGCCCACAAAACCCCACCCACCCCCCAACCACTCCTCCCCCACTACTCCGCCCTTCCCTTCACCCCCACCAACCACAACCACTAATTTAAGCAAAACCACCAACCCCCCAGGAACGTCTCCGCCAACCCCATCCACATTACGTGCCTATCCCGCCACGCAACCACACCACATTTCACACCACCCCTACCCCGTACACCCCACTACCCCGGACCCCCACCTTCCGCTTAACGCCCCGCTAATTGCCCCCTCCACACTCCTCCCTCCCGCACTACACTCCCTGACATCCCTCCGCCCCCTCCACACCCACCCGCTTCCGGTACCCCCAACCAAGACTCCACAAACCAGCTCGCTAACGGAGGCCAGACACCACCAACTCACGCTCCCCCGTCACCACTACCCGCCCCCACTCCCCCTCCTTCCCACCAATTCGTACGTAGACCACCCACACCAACCACCCCCACCCAGCAAGCACCTAAATCGCGACCACGACCTTCTCGTCGTCCACCAGCCATGAACAACGCCCCTACCACGCCCCCCTAGCCCCCTAATGCGTGTCCTCCCTCAACCCACCCAGACCACCCTACCCCTCCCACACCACTCCACTCGACCTTTCTCCCTACACAACACCCCCAACCCACCTTACTCCCGACAGCAAATAAACAACCGCTCCCACCCCACCCCACCCCCCCCACGTTCCCTCACCCCCTTTACCCCTCCCCTTGCCCCGACCCTGCCGCCTCTTACCACCCCCCATTCACCCCACCCTACCCCCACCCACCCACCCCCACCCTTGCATCACTCCCCCATCCCCTCCTGCCACCCCTTGACCTCCCTCACATCCACCCCTCACCAAACCTCAAGTCACCTCTCCAGAACCACCCCTCACATCACACTCACCACCCCCCCTAGCCGAACCGAACCAACCACCCCAACCTCACCCAAGGCGACGCATGCCCCCACCCGACATCCCACCCCCTACCCCCCCTTCCCACATCCCCAACACAACCCAACAGTCCCCCACTCCCCTATAACGGCCACCCCCACCACCAACCCTTCCTCCCACCCTTTCACTCAAACCAACACCCGCCCCCTCCCCCCCGTCCCTACTCGCCAACCCCCTCTCGTACACCACCAAAACCCCTCACCCCAACCAGCCACCAGAGGAAAAACTCCACCCTATCCACCCCGATGAACCTAACACCACAACACTCCCCACACTCGCCCACCCGTACGCCCACCCCCACACTCCACACCTTGTGCAAGCCATACCTCCTACCCACCGCCCGGATGCACCCCCCCTTCCCCTACCACCCTCCTCCACCGAGCCGAACCACCCTACCCCCAAGCATCAACCCCCTCACCAACAACACCCATTACCACCCGTATACTACACACACCCTCCCCCCACCTACCCCTCATCCCGATCCCCCACTCTTTTAATCGTACCCAGCCACAAATCACGACCCAACCCGCCCCACCCCACCCTCCCATCCCCTATCCGCTCCCCACTCACACTGGAGTTCCCACACCCACCCAAACATCAACTCTACCCACACCCCCACCCCCCCGCCAAACCCACGAAAACACACCCACCCCCTCCCTAACGCTCCGCCATAGCGGCGCGTCACCCCACCTATCTCACCGCGCATCCAACCCCCCACCCCACCAACCAAAAAACCCCCCCCCCCACACCCCCATCAAACTCACTCGTGACAACTCCCTACCCCTCTACCACGGCCCCTACACATCAAAAACGCCGCAGCAGCCCCGCTTCGGACAAACTAGCGCCCCCTAACCATACCGCGAAATTATACCCCCTACCCCGTGAAATCCCCGCACCCCACCACCCCGCACCAGCCCCACCCTCCCTGTGCTTTTCTTCCCACACCCGGTCCCACGCCCCCACCACCGCAACAACCCGAAGCTCACCCACTCCAGCCCCCGCTACCGCAATAACCCCCCCAGAACACCCACACCACCAATACACCCACTCCATTCCGACCCACACACCAACCCCACTCCCTCCCCAAAACACATCACCCTTCCTCTCGCCCTCCCATTCCCCTAACCTCCCCCTCCTCCTTCCTCCAACCCGCTCCCCCCCCCCTTCCCATCACTGCCACAAAAGTACCCCTCTACCACAACGGACCCAAACCCCCCCCCCCCAACCCACACTACACACTACAGACCGTACCTACCCGCAATGCATTCCAACACGCTCACAGCTACCCCCCTACACCTAATCACACGCACTCCCACCTACATTCCCCAAACCCAAAACGACCCTCCCCCACCAGCCCCCAATCCCAACTGCCAGACAACCAAACCGTCATACCACGTCCCCCCCCAACCCCCCACAGCCCACACCCCACACCCAACCCAATCGCAACCCGCCCGACCCGCAACCAACCACCCCTCATCCCCCTCAGAATCTCCACCGCCCAGCAACACAACTCCACACTATGCTTCCCAGCCCCCCCCTTTCCACCCACCGACCACCACAACAAAACCCCCACATTTCCCCCAGTCCCCCCCTCCCTCGAACGAACCCCAATCCCCCTCAACGCCTACTCCATCAGCATAAAACGCCCCTTCACTCCCCGACTTCCCCTACCGCCACCGCCCAACAAACCCCTCCCCCTCCCCCCCCCCACCTCTCCTCAAAAATCACACATACACCTCTGCCCCTCTCTCAGCGCACCGCCCCCCCTCCAATACACCAACCAGCCCATTCCAAGCCCATACCTCTACCCCCCTCCCCCAACGGATCCCACCCCTATCACCCCCCATCCTCATCCCAACCACCACAATTGCAACCCCCCCACACTCCCCCCCCATCGCCACCCCACGGCAACAAACCCCCCCTATACTCCTACCTAACCAACCACCCCACCCTACGAGGTGGAATACCACACATCCCAACCCCCCCCCCACGCTCTCTGAACTGCGCCCATCTATCCACAGTTTGACACCCCTCCAACGATAACGCAACACCTACCTCCCCCCCCCAAATCAGATTACTCCGCCCTCACCCTGGTCCCCCGCCTCCACAACGCTCCACCCACCCCCTCCTCCAACTCCCACCCTTCAGGGCCACTTACCTATCCACTCTACATCCCAAACCTCCCTATCTCTAAAAGAACCACCCATCCCCCCCCTAACGCCAATGCCACCCGACCCAACAACCACCGATCCCATGCCCTTGACTCGTGACCACCTCCCAACCACATACGCCCCTCTCCCGAATCTCATCCACCACAAACCACCCCCCCCACCCCCACACCAAACCCGTACAGACCACCCACAATCCCCACTTTAACCACCCCGTCCCCCTGCTCACCCCACACCCCACCCGACCCCCAGATCCAACTATTCTTCACATCTCCCACCCTCCACCAACCAAACTACTAACCACACCCCATCCCTTCTCTTCTCCCCCACACTCCCCGGCCCCCGCGCCGCAACCGCCCCCCCCGACCATTTTACCCTCCCCCCATACACAACGGCCGACCTAAACCAACCCTTTCCCGAATCACCCCACACCCCTCCCTCTCAACCTCCCCACCCCCCACCCCCGAACCCACCCACTCTACCCAACCTCCCTCCCAACCGACGCACCCCCCACCCCCGCCCACCCCCAAACCCACCTACCGCCCTGCGCCGCGCTTACTCCATCGGCACCCCCCCCTCACAACCCCGACGGCTACTTTACACGCATACCGCAACCCCCCGCACGCGCATACCCCTTCCCTCCAACGCCACCTCCAAAGACTCCAGCCCCCGCCCTCCCCGCCCCCCCAAGCACCTGACTACAACCCCCCCTACACCTCTACCACCGAACACCTACCGACCGCGCCCCACCCTCCCTACACAACACTGACCTTAACTCCCTACCACACCCACACCAACATGCGCCCCCCCATACACCCCCACTAAATCCCCCCCCCCCCCCCCACCCTCTCCCAGCCCATCCTCCCACACACCTTAACGAACTACCCGCCACACACCCAACTCTCATTCCCTCTAGGCAACAACAGATACCCCCCCCCCTGCTACCTCCCACCCCCCCCCACCCTTATCCCACCAGCAAACCCCCGTGATCAACCCACACCTCCCCAACCCCACCCACCAACAACAACACCCCCCCACACCCCCCCTTCCAAGCCCCACCACATCCCAACCTCCTTCCCCCCCATCCCACTCCATTCTCACCCAAACCGCACCCCCCCCTACACCCCCTCAACCCACGCTCATCAAGACAACGATCCCCACCCATCACCCCTGCCTTTCTTCTACCCTCCACCCACTTACACCCCACACCACCACAACCAGACCACACCCTCCTTGCCTCTTCAATTTCCCCCCAACCCCTATACCACCCTGCCCCCACCCATCCCCTCCTAGCCCTCACTGGTCCTATCCACCCTCGCCCCTCCCCCACTGTCCCACACGCCCGCCAACCATCCGCCCATACACACGCCCCGGCCACCCACCCCCCCCCCCCCTCACCCACCCATACGTCCACACACCCACCCCCTCTCCAATCAACCTGTTCACACCAACACCACCCCGCTTCCACCACCCCCACACCTTAACTTACTCCAGCCCTTGCCCCCAACGCACCCCAAACCCCACATATTTTCCTGTCAAATGCCCCCACCAAACCACCCCCATCATCCACCACCATCCCCCCCCCCGCTCACCACAAACAACAACCCCATTTCGCCACCCCCCCCCCCCCCTCCACCCTCACCACCACACCTCTTCAACAATAAACCCCCCATCCCCTGCCGAACCACAACTACACCTCCACCTCACTCCGCCGCC